TTCAATCATACCAGCTTTATATAATGAAAAATGTTAGTTGAAAATAAGAGTCACTAACTGTCTTTCATCTGAATATCATAAAAAGAGTCTCTCTTCTTATCCTGTCTATTCTTAGCTTTCTCACGGGAATCTTATAAAGATTTTTGAGCATACCCTAGATTCAAAGTGTTCCACCGTTAGGGGTAAGGACTAAAATCTTTTAACTAGTCTCTATTGTCTTATATAAACCCCTGATACGCCACAAACTACATCACAAATATGCGAGACGATATAAGATCATAAACATATCATTTGAAAGAAAGCCATAGACTCTGTATATCAGTAACATCTCGTTCTTATCTATGAGCTGTTTCCTTATTGCATACATAAAGGATTCAGTAAGATGCTAGTGAACAAATATGTTTAGAATAAATTGAATAAACCAATCTTAGGGGTCGCAGCGACGGGATTACCAAAAAGAAAGATTTGGAGAAGGAATTTTTTCAAAAGAAAAATAGAAGAAAATTCGAAAAAAAGGAAGAAAAGAAGGACTTTTCACAAGTTCTACGCTGCAACGGTAGAATTATATTAGAAGATCAATTGTGAACAATAGGAATGAGCTCAGACGAAAATGAATTTCAAACATGAACAGTTGTCTCCTCGGCATATGATATGTTTATGTAACTGTTGTTCCCATATCTCAATGACTCTCTCGGTAGTTCTACAGGTAACACACGTGCCTCACCCACATGGATAGCTACGCCCTACATCGATTACGAAAATTTGTGTGTTATCAAAAATATTCCTTGATAGGATATCAAAGGTGTGTAATCATTAGAAAATTATCAACTTTTTTCGTGGATCGATAGATGGACTGGACTTTTGAGGATAAAGTACTAGTACGCTTGAAAATCCGACAGAGCAGTCAGAAAAATCTTCTAGAGTTTCTTTGACTAAGCTTGCAGAACCAAATCGAAGCATCCGTAGACAGTACAGGATCAAAATCCTTGATTTTGCAAAAGTGAAAATAAATATGCTAGGATTTTAGAGCATTGTCGGCTTCGCAATGTCACGTGTTTTTTAAACTAACAAAATGAATTTGAAATGCTCTACTGATGTATCAAGTTCCGTCCTAAAGGATCATCTGACGTCAAACCTAACAGATATTCGTATTCTTTTTGCGAAAATAGTTACATGACATTACCGAGCCGAGAGTGCTGTACAATCCTAACATACTTATGTAAACTTTTGAAAATCGAGGATTTTAATATTGCGAATCCTTACGGGTTTTCCCATTTAGTTCCGAAAACTGTTGAAGAAGCTCTAGAAAATATTTCTGATTCCGCTATCCGGCTTCAGTCATGCTAGAAATTTACCCTAAACGTTCTAGCCCATTTATCAACTGGCGAAAACAAGTGCTTATTTTGTAGCGCATGATTCTCAGTCTATCTTCGAAAAAATTTGCAACGCAATGCAAATTGGCCACTTCTATCTACCACTTTTCAAATAGTGAGACATAGTTACCTTAAACACACAATTCTCGCCTTGACGTGAGGAGTTTAATGGAATTCGAAGATAAGTTAGCTGGTTGACTAAATTTTGGCGATGATAGCTGAATTCAACCTATAAACGTTTTCCAGCTTGTAGAAAGATATTTTTCCTCATCCGGTATTTCTGCTACATCTCACTCAGATCGAGATGCTTTACTACTTCCTCAATCCAGATACGCTTTTTTCGAGCTTCTTATTTTAAACAGCGTTTCAAGATGGTTTTTATGTTCTCCAACAATTTGAGTTACCTGGACAAATGTCGAAATTTCTTGATCTATGTACATATGCACGGTTTGAAATACTTCTCAAGTTCTTTGATCAGTGTAAAGATTAATTATAACTCATCAGGTTTTTGACCAGAAAAGTGAAAAATATGTTCAGGAAACCCTATCTCGATCGCAAACTCGAAAAGCATAAAAAGAATTATGGTTCAAATGAAAAGATCTTGTATCATGCCTGGAATTGATTGACCAATTTGAGTTGCGTGGAAGATTGACAATTGATTGTAAGCTGAATTGGAAATCATTTACACGTATGACCCCATTGTCATCCACATGTACCACCTTACTTACTACCAAATGTCGTCTGCCTTTCTCGTTTCGTTTATCAACAACGATACCAACAAAAACTGTGTTTCTTACATTTTGCTGAGTAAAAGTCTTGGTAAAACATCGATACATCATGAATGGCTAATAACATAAGTATCTGTAAGACTGGCTATAATGTAGCTCAGCTTCGATTATGCTTGGTCACTGAGTATATGCTTGCAATTTTGCGCAGTGACCGAGTTCTAGCGAAGAATCATTTTAGATATCTCAAGTCCTGTACATATATGCCGCGTTAATTGAGATCTTATATGCATACCTTAACATAATTGTGGCGAGCTTTTTATTGGACTTGTGGTGGATTAAACATTTTCTGGAGCTCTGAGAGCTCTCTATCTAAGCATTCCCCCATATGTTTTACGAAGTTTCTTAGAGTCAATTCGTATGAAAAGTAAAAAAAAGAAGAAAAAAAAAGGGCTTTCAAAGAAAGAAAGGACGAAGAAGGATTGTCTGAAAAAAGAAGAAAAGAAAGACTGCTGCGGGGTCTGCAATCTCTTTAATAGATTCAGTGTTAAATTCCCACATGTAAAAACAGTACTAATGTCCGTTTCGAAATATAATGCGTCCCACTGTTTTTTGAATAACTCAAGAACTCAATCAGCTAGAGACCTGCGGTTTTCACCAATCGAAAGAAGAGACAGGAGGGCGTCTTTTTCTCCAATATCGTATCAGATGGAATCATTTTGAAACCAGTCATTTCTGCATAACATCGAAAAAATGGTCTGTCATTCAGATGAAATTTTGACAAAAAGTAAAAACATTTGCTTCAAAATTAAAAGAAATTCATAGTTTTCTTGCGAGTAAATAGACGATTTTATTTGCTAAACGTTAGGATGCGATAAGATAATTATTCGAATTATATCCTGAAGTATAGATCCGAAGTCCCTCTATCTAGATCACATGTCAAAAGGAAAATTTCTTCAGAATGCTGGGTCGTTTTCATGCATTTTTTGCAATGTTTTGCAGAAATGACTGATTCTGAAATGATTTCGTCTGACACAATATTGGAGAAAAAGACATCCCCCTGTCTCTTCTTTCGATTGGTGAAAACCACAGATCTCTAGCTGATTGCGTTCTTGAGTTATTCAAAAAACAGTGGGACGCATTATATTTTGAAACGGACATTACAATAATTATTAATGGAACAATTTTTACCATATTTTTTTTATGAATTAACTGTCAATAGATATTTCGACGCATTAAAAATGATTTTAATTGAAATGTGTCATAGTAGATGGAAATCGAACACATTGGTATTCATGCTTGATTGAACGAACTGTCCTTTTTCTTCTGTATAAACAAAAAATTAATTTTTTTTTTTGATATTTCTTTATCTAGTGTTGATGCAACAGTCTTACGTATTGATGATATATATCAACGTGAAAGTCAAAATCGTGCTGTTCTTCAAAATCTTGATTGGCGTTTACAACGTTTAGAAGATCTTAATATGAATACATATGAAATGATTCAAAAAATGTTTTCGAATCAATCATTCGATGAACGAGATCCATCATACGTATTTCATCGTCGAACATCTTGGTTCGATGATGATATGCATGATCGACGGCGACAACAACGACAACGACGTTCATCATTAACAGGTTATGAATTGAATTCTTTTAGAGATAAAAATATCTCTAAATCAACAACAATAATAATGAATCGAACACCAATATCAAAACATGGTTTATCAATACATGATCAAATTCCATTATCAAAAAAACCACATCAAGTTCAAAGACGATCAACAATTCATCGCTTAGATTCATTAACAAGTAATGATTTTAATATTAATCGAATACAATCAAATGAATATACTTCAATAACTGATGGTAAAAGATTTTATTTCTTTTTGTTATTTAATGAAATTGATTTTTTTTTGCCTTTTTTTTTCTTTCTAGTTATTGATACAACTCATCATCATGAATGGCGACCATCAAGTCCAATAACTATCCGTCCTTCGACAATTGATAATAATGCCATGGTATTATTTGAATCAACAAAAGAAGAAACAGCTGCATATGATGCTGAAGAACAAACACATAATTTAATTGGTGAAATAATACGAAAACGTGTTCGACATTCATCAATAAATCAACCATATAATTCAATAGAACCTTATTGCGATAGTGATCGAGCATCACTTCTTTCAATTGATCTTAATACTAGTACATCTAATCTCAATCTTGAAATGCCTGATGCAAAAAACTAGTCCATAAAAAACAAATATGTATATATATATTTTTTTTTCCGTGTAGACAACTCTCCGGTATTGAGTGATGTCAGATTTCATATTTTAAAATAAAATTCAACACAATTTTTTGTTTAGCTTTGTTTTTTGACTCATTCATATTTGTTTTTGTTTCTTTTTTCCCCATGGCACCATTTGTAGAATACTTCTAATATATTGATTGATTTGATTTCTGTACTCATTTTATCAATATGTTGCAACTGTCGACTATTCCATACGTATTTATTGATTGTACCGTACTTCTGTTTTCACTATTCGTAAATATATAGATCAGTTGTTCTCTCTAAATTCGGTTTATTGATACTGGAAAAGCTGATTGATACTATCTGTTAATACTTACTAACCACACCGTCCTTGATATACTATAGAAATGAATGCACCGTATGCAATTTATAAAATGTAAAAGTGTCTTTTTTAGTTTCGAAAACGTTAAGACTTTGTTGTTTCTATAGGGAATTCTTTTCTTTTTTAAATTTCATAAGGTACTTTTTCTTCAATTGGACTGCACTTCGTTTTTCTCTCTTTTAATTGTTCTTTTGTTCGATCGTTATCTTTTTCATTACTCTTCACGTTACACAAGTGAACAACATCCATCAATTATTTTTTTTACTAACAATGCCTTTAACGCGTCCGAATATAACAATTATTCTTGCTTATATTGTTATTGGATTAGCTTTAAGTGCAATTATATTTATTGTACTTTCAATAAGTACTACCCATTGGATACATACAATACATATGCGAGCTGGATTTTGGAAACTGTGTCATTTACAACCATTGGCATGTTTTCATTCTGTTTTACGTTCGCCAGCTGCTTTATCATTAACTGGACTGTTTTTAATTGTTATCGGTTTGATATCAACTTTCATATTCAATATTATTGATTATCATGTGGCATCATCTGTTCGATTTATTTCATTATTATCTGTTTTTTCATTAGGATTGGGTACTTTTTTTTTCGTGATGAGTTATGTGGTATTTTCTCGCATAGTTGCACATTTGTGTTACTCATATTATCTAATGATCGTTGGGCAATTGTTGTCAATGAGTGCAGCGATTGTAGCTAGTTATTTAGAGGGACGACGAAATGCATTAGTATCTACATCGGCCATTATAAGTCGATTGGTTGTGCGCAGACCTTGAAACACGGTTGTTTCTCTTTCATTTTCACCTACATTTTTCTTTCTTTCCTCTATTCTTACTTACTCGACTTTTTTTTTTCTTTTCGGTTTCTAAGATACCAACCAATGAGCAGCGTACAGTGAAGCACAACGCGTGAATATAGCTTTTACAGCTTTAGTACGTAGCTATTCATTTTGTATAGGGAGTATATGACACAGCATAGATCAAATGTCGCTTATGTCATTTTGTCGTTGTACTTTTTAAATAAGATTTAAAGTATGAATTTGATCATGTGAAATATATTCTGTAATAATATCAATTTAAATAGATGAAATATTTGATCCTGATCAATATCTAGTATTCAGTAGGTTAAAAAAAATAACATTTAACTTTTTCTTTCTTTTTTTTGTTATCATCTAATATGTATGTGTGTACCATATGTAGATCTACATGATTAAAGTATATATTATTTTTTTGTAGTTTATGTAAAAAAATATTTTGAAAAATTAAGAATAGAGTAGTATTGTATTATATATTTGTATTATAAAAAGAATATTTTCTTTTATTAAAGATAAATATTAGTTTTATGTCCAGTTCCCGTTCTTCTCTAAATAACCAAGAATCTGACAATAAAGATTTGTCTATTGATATGTCAACAAAATTATTAAATAAAATATCTGGTCTATCATCATCAACTATTTTATTAAGTGATTCACCATCATCATTAAAAGAATCTGGACAAACAGCAGTTAATAAACGTGTTGTTAAATCATGTTTTTTCTCCACAGTTATATTTTCAATAAATTTTATTTCATCAATTCTTGTTATTAATTTAGCGAAATGGTAAATTTTATTATTTAATTAATTTTTATACAAAAAGAATAAAAAAAGAATTTTTTTTTTGTTTTCTTTAATAGGATTTATGTTAAACATCATTTTCCTAATTTAACATTAACAACATTAAATTTTTTTGTAACTTTTTTTCTTTTGATTGCTTGTATGCAAGCAAAAGTATTTACTTATGCTAAATTACCAATTTTTAATATGATTCCTGTATCCGCCTGTTTTGGTGGCTTTATCGCATTCAGTAATCTTTCACTTCAATATAATACTGTTGGTACATATCAACTTATTAAATTGCAAGTAACACCAAGTAAGTATAATTATATTCTATAGTGAAAAATATGTATATTGGTGGATTGTTAAGTCAATGTTAGATATAAAAAGCAACTATTATCATAAGAACGAATAAAAAAAAATATATATATAGTATGTTAATGATACGTGTCAATATGTATTAGTTACTAAAAAAATAATGTTAATGAAAAAATATAGAAGATTTATTCGAAATCAAATACTCGAAATAAATTTTTCTAAATATCATAGTATATTGTGACCTGTATATATATTGCTTTCTAAGCGATCGAACATGAAAATGTTGTAAGCGAAAACAAAAGAAGAAATTTTTCTCGAGTCTCTTGAAAGTTTAAAAAGTGTGTTAATGTAAATTTTCGGGAATTGAATCGTTATAAAAATTGGTAGTACCTGCATGACCTTTCAACTTGAATTTCAGATCGATTATTGAAATTATATACAGTTAATATTCTTTGTCTGAATAAACTATAGACTTATTTTCATTTTCAATTATATTGATGATATGAGTCGGTCTACAAGAGTTCCAATGTTATTGAATATCCAAATGCTTAATATCAATGCGAAAATAAATAAAAATAAAATATAAAGTTTTAGCGAATTAGATCATTAGAAGTGACGTGAAATCTATAGGGACGTACCTAGATCTCCACAGCAGGAGGGAGGCGTAACCTTCCAAGAGCTTAAAGTCTCGAAAGCAGAGAGGGGGGGGGGGGGGGGGGGGGGGGGGGGGGGGTAAGGTATCCATTCATATCAATTCAACAGCTATAGCCCCTAAAAAAAGAGCTTTTTTCAGAAGCAGAGGGCGTAACGCCCCACTCACCCCTTCCTAGCTACGCCCCTGAAAACCTAAGGGTTTTCTAGTTTTTTAGGATTCATTGAGGAATAGCTCATCAGAAAATTGAATAGAGCAAAATTTATCATAGAACCAAAAGTCTTGAATATCTTTCTGTAGAAGATATTGAAGTCGTATTTTCAGCGAATATGCTTTATGTTTTTATATTTTTTTGTCTTTTACAGTTGTCTATTAATATGTAAAATATATCCAATAGATAGAGAACATCTCGAAATAGGTATAGAGCAGGAAAACAAATCTAAAAATGAAGAGCCTGAAAACTTTGAGCCGGTAAATAAAGACTTTTGAATTGAATAGTTGAAATTCGAACTTTATGACTTTACTTTTGAATAAATGTATGCTTGAAATTTATGTTATTCTCATTTCTGTGTACTGAATAAAATAATTCTCTTTATATTATTGAAAACATTCCATTGGATTAGTTCATATATGTATAGAAGACTTATAAACAGTTTAATTCAATATTAAAGTTAGGCAACAATTTGAGATCTCAGTTTTTTAACATATATTACTAGATATGACAATAAAGATGTAGAAGGAATTTTGATCGGTCAACTTATACGATGTTTAATAAAATACTTGATTTTGAAAAACTACTCACTAAAGTTTTGTTTAATGTTGAAATAAAATCTGTGATAGAATATGATATTATTTTTAATAGTAAAATTTCTATGTCTATTTTAGCTGTGATGGTGATTAGTTGGTTATTTTTTAAAGCACACTATCCATTACCAATTGTAATTTCATTCATTCCGGTTTTTGTTGGAACATTAATTAGTACTTATTATGATTTACAATTTAATGTATTTGGTCTTTTTTGTAAATATTAAATTTTTTGTTTTTATTTTTAATCTATATTTTATTTATTTTAGGTGCTGTTACATCTGTAGTATTTACTGCTATGTATCAAATACTTGTTGAGTATTATCAAAAAGCATACAATTGTGATTCATTACAGTTATTATTTTATCAAGCTCCACTTTCTGGTCTATTACTATTATTTTTTGTACCATTTTTTGAACCAATATCGGATTTAGATAAATTTATGACAACTGATATTATTTTTTTAGTATTACTTTGTGGTGTTGTTGCATTTTTTGTTAATTTTAGTATTTTTTGGGTTATTGGAAATTTATCAGCTGTTGCATATAATATGATTGGACATTCGAAAACATTATTAATTATATTTATTGGTTCATTTATATTTCATGAACCACTTAATCAAAGACAAATATTTGGTTTATGTTTTACAATGCTTGGAGTTTTTCTTTATACATATTTTAAATATATTAGAAAAGCAGATAAATAAAATACATTCGGAATTTACATTATATTTGTTTCTAGTATCTCATTAAGAAAATTAATCATTGATTTCATCGGTATTGCTTACAACATTTATTTTTTAAAACATTTAAGTTTTATTCAAGTATTTGTGATAATATGTGTATATGTTGAGTGCTCAAAGTTAAATTTACTCTGTTGTCTTTGTTTTTCTGTTCATTCCAAAAAAAAACATTTTTTGTTTCAGTTATTATTTAATTAATTAAGTGCACAAAAATAAAAAATAAAAAAATGACATTGCTTATTGAATATTTTTAGATGACAACATCATCCTCTTATGCAATTGGTGTTGATGTTGGAACAGGAAGTGTTCGTTGTATGATATTTGATGATAAATGGACGCCGGTTGTTCAATGTCAAAAACCGATTCGTGTGAGATATTGAAAAATGTTTGTTAGATAAGATATGGTTTTCTATGAATTAAATATTTCCTAAATTTACAAGTGAAATTGTAAAATAATCTTGTAAAAATTTAAAGAATGTCATATTGATAGTTCTTAACAAATTCAATCGTGTAGAAATCGTTAACTCATTACGACTATTTTACTTTATAACTCGACTCTTAAGATTTTGAATTATTTCGCGACACCCACATCTGATGCTACAAGGCTAAAAAAAAAGCCAATTCAAAATCCTTAAATTCATGATCCATATTTTAGCCTAGGAAAAGTATCCGCACCTCAATCATTCATGCTGCAAAAAGAGACTCTCGAGCGTTATATATAGGCTTTCTATGGATTCTCGGAACATTTCTAAGTACACTATAGAAAGTTTCCACCAGATCTCTTAGCGTTTTCCGTCGCATCACTAGAGATCTCCACGAGCATCTAGTTGATACGCAGGGATCAATAGGAAATCTCGAGCAAACCCTTATCCAAACTCTAGATGATCCTAAGAGATCTTCACAGAATGCGTACGTGACCTCCAGGAATCTACAGTAAATCGCCTGAGAAACTCTTGAAGGTGCCTCTTGATCGTCTGATGATACCTTAAAGGTCTTGCAGGATCTGCTGGAAATCTTCGTAGAGCCTCTTTGAGATTCATAGTTGAAAATTCAAATATTCTACTTATAAAATTGAATAGTAGTAACAACTCTTCAAGTTCTACGTGTATGAATGCCTAATTGAGTTTCCGAGTATGAAAACTTTTAAGCCAAAATTTGAAGAAATGGCGTAAACCCCGTCTACCAATTGCTTAAGAAAATCTATAAAAGCATAATTTTATTGGTCTTAATCACATCTATGATAATGTGCTCTATGGTTCTCTTATATTAAATCTCATTGTTCGAATTAGTTATAATGTAATGACATATGTTTCCTAGAGCTTTGGTTTTAATAGTCTTAATCTATATATGTGTGTTATTTTCAATAGCAAGTGTTTCTTTTTATAGACATATCATTCATCATCTGCTCCACTCGAATATGAACAATCATCAACGGATATTTGGCAAGCAATATGTTATTGTGTTCGAAAATGTCTCGAACTTGGATCATTTACATCGGAACAAATAGGACTTATTCGTTCGATTGGTTTTGATGCTACATGTTCTCTTGTTGTTCTTGATGAGAAATATGAACCTGTTAGTGTTTCTCTTTCGGGTAATGATGAACAAAATATAATTATGTGGCTGGACCATCGAGCACATGCTGAAGCAGCTATAATAAATTCAAGTTCGGATGATGTTTTAAAAAATTTTGGTGGTAAAATTAGTCTTGAGATGCAACCAGGAAAGTTAATGTGGCTGAAACGTAATTTAGCTAAAGAACAATGGAAACGTGCCCGACATTTTTTTGATTTACCGGATTATTTACATTTTCGTGCAACAGAACAATTAGATCGATCACTTTGTTCATCCGTATGTAAATTATGTTATCGTTCATCGGAAACACAACATGGATGGGATGCAAAATTTTGGACTAAATTTGATTTAGACGATTTAATGGAAAATAATGGTGAAAAATTAGGTCAACTTGTTCGTAAACCATTTTCAAACTCGGATATTGATGTTTTAAGTAAAAAAGCGGCAGATGAACTTGGTTTATCAGAAGGTATTCATGTTGGTTCACCATTAATTGATGCATATGCTGGAGCATTAGGTGGATTAGCATGTAAATCTCCAATAGCCGACGCTCGTCTCACTGAACGATTAGTTATTGTTGCAGGGTATAAAAACAAAAAAGACACATACTTGCATGTTCATCATTCTCATTTATTTTTATTTCTAGTACATCAAGTTGTTTTATGGCATGTAGTGAAAAAGCTGTTTTTGTTCCTGGAGTATGGGGCCCACATTATAATGTTCTTATTCCTAATCTATGGCTTAGTGAAGGAGGTCAATCAGCAGCTGGAAAATCTATTGATCATATAATACAAATACATCCAGCTTATAATGAATTAAAACAATTAGCAGATGAACAAAATAGAAATATATTTGATATACTTAATGAAATCTTAGATAATTTACAAAAAAAACATAATCTTAGTAATGTATCCTTATTAAGTAGAGATTTACATATGACCATTGATTTTCATGGTAATCGTTCGCCATTAGCTGATCCAGAATTAGGTGCTTCAATAACTGGTCTTCGTTTTGATACATCATTAAATAATTTAGCAATACAATATTTAGCTGTATTACAAGCTGTAGCTTATGATAGTCGACATATAATTGAAGTAATGACTAAATCTGGTCATCATTTTCGTGTTGTACAAATTTGTGGTGGTTTAGCACGATTACCATTATTAACACAACTTATGGCTGATGTTGTTCAAATGCCTGTTTATGTTTCTGAAGCAACTAATGATTGTGTTCTATTAGGTGCAGCAATATGTGGTCAATTAATAGCTGATAATGCACATCAAGTAGAAGATTTACTTAATAAGATAGCATGTCCAATTCAAACATATATGCCGGATTCTAAAATAGCTGATTTTCATAAAGATAAATATGAAATTTATCGTGTATTACAGCAAACAGAAATTGATAGTCGTCAACGGATGAGTAAATATGGTCAATCATAAAAAGAAAAACAAACAATTGTGGCAATCCTTTTTCATATTGATTTTATGATCTATTTTTTATGCAATTATACTGATGATTTAATTTTCTTTTATAAAAGATAATTTTAGATTTCTGATCGTAGTTGATAGAAATAAGATTTTCTTTGTGATTTTAGATTAAAAAATTTATTATGAATAAACACGAAATTGAAAGAGTATGTAGATTAGATGTTAAAACCAACTGTGAATTACTAGATGCTTTTTTAGCTTTTTCATGAATGTGATAGAAAAAGAAAAGGATATCTTGATCGAGAAGATATTAAAGTAGCATCTATACGACTTTATGGAATTAAACTAGATAAAGTAAGATTGAGACATGTGACATATAATAATTATAAAAGCTTTTCTTTGTTTTTTTTTTTTTTAGTATAAAATTGAACGATTAATATCGAGTATTCCGAATCGAACTCATCGAGGTAAGAAAATTTTATGAAGTGGAAAAAAAGAAATTATTTATTGATTATTTAAGGTTTAACATTGGATCAATTTATTGATTTTGTACATAGTTATGATCATCAAATTGATCGTGAAGATCAAAATCGTGAAACATTTCTTATTCTTGATCGAACATGTAAAAAACTTTCTTTTTTTTGTTATTTTTTAAACAAAAAAAAAAGAACTCATTTCTCATTTAGGTAAAGGTTTTTTAACTAAAGATGATTTTATTCGTGCATTTGAACGTATTAATGTTAAATTAAAAACAGAAACAATTGATTCTGCTTTTAAGTATGTTCTATTCAATATTTTATCATCTATTTTAATTCATAAAACATATTTTTATTTCAATTCTAGACAACTCGATGTCGACGGTGATGGTCGTGTTAGTTATCGAGACTTTGATTTTATGATGAATTATATAGCTGATGAATGATTTTTGTAATAATATAGAATAGAATGTAACAAACTGCTTGTTTTTTTTTCAAACAGTCTAAATGTGTAGTTTAATATAGAAAAAAAAATAATCTTAAAGGTTATCATTGATTTGTATGAATGATTTATTATAGTCGTAAGACAATGAAAAACATATTATTGTTGATGTCATGATTTTGTTTTGCTTCACTGATTTCAAATAGGTAAATGATCACTGATATTTATGCATTTGAAAGTATCACGTCATGAAAATTGTTTCGTTTTCTTTTCAGTTTCTTTCACATTTCAGTGAATTGATGATTTGTATAATTATCAAAAAAAAACTTTCTTCATGATTTTCAAGACTTTTAATGGTTCGAAAAATGAAGTGCATAGTTTATGTAATATTTCGTATACAACTAATGATCATATTTAAGGTGTTACATTTTTGTCATGTATTACTGAATGTCACTAATGTTGTATGTACAGACAAGGCTTAGCTCGTTATCAAGGCGCTTTTCGAATATGTTGTAATAACTAGTGTCTTTCAATCAATACATCAAGTATTTCATTTATTTCTTTGGTAATTTTATCCATCAGTACATGAGAAAGAAATAAAACCATATTTAATGAAAAATGGAGATATTTTATTAGTTGATAAAAATAATCAAGAATTAACCTTTTATATGGACAGTTCGCATTAAGGTTTCTAAATCAAAGTACTTATTGTAATTTTTCTTGAATTTTATCTGTAATTACATCAATTCATTAGGTTGATCATATGAGAAATATTAAAGTTATCGTTTGAAATCATCATTTATCTGGAACTCAATCATTCTCGATCATAATTGATATTTTTATAGTCCGACCAACTGTCCTAACAAATCTAGTAAAATATATTTTAATCGAATTCAAATTGTCTCGTGCCATACCAGAGTTCTTTATTCAACAGCATGGACTAGTTAGTTTTCCTTTCACAATTGATTGTGGAAAAAAACATCAGAGTGAAACATTTTCTATAAATAATATTTTCATACAATGGAGGATACTTTTTTGTGTAATATCTTCTATCATTTCACACTACTCTAACCGATCAAAGTGATCATTTTTCGCTTAAAACGTCTGGCATTATTATTATACTTGCGAGAGAATATCTAGAACCAATGAACGATAACCATGAGTATGAGGCATTAGTTTTGATGAAGTGTTTCATTATCTTACTTGCCTCTGATTAGTGTTTCATAAAGTACCTCCAATGTGTTTCACATTTTAATTTCGTATGAATTGTGCTGAAAATTTCCTTTAGATTATCTCTAATACGATTCATTCGACAAGTGAAGTTCTCACGTGATGATAGTGTTGCCGTTTATCAAAATTATTAGTAAACTTTTAATTCTCATCTTCTCTTATGAATAATTATTGTTCAGCTTGTGCAGAAGAATGTTTACTAAGAAATTTTATTGTACAAACTTTTTTAATATTAACATTCATCCAATGGTAACTAGAATAGTGTATGGTATAAATAGATTCATAAAAATGATCTTGTTATCAGTATCATACGTGAAATGAGTATCACTTTTGGTAATACACAATCAACTGCAATCAAAATAATGATTTTCTTACAAATATTGGTGTCAAATTAGCCGATGGATCGACTCTAGTTTTTCTTCCATCATGAAACTCATTGAAACACTCTAGCAGCTGATTCGACAGACATCTGAAAACGAATTCTGCCTCAAAACAGAAGTTAAGAGCTTTAATTTAACAGAAAAAAAAATCGACTTCTGATAGTATTGAATAACAACGAAATGAGAGATAATGGAGAGGCTAAATAAGAGAAGAAAACTTAAGTATAGATATTGAAACTCGTTGATATTGATTTGGTGATATGAAACAAGATCATGAATTTCTTTATTTATCGATGATCTCATTCGAATCTAATCAGCTGTTAAATGCCAATGTAAAAAGCTTATTCGGTTTGATTTCTTATGGGTTACTTTTGCTCTAATGATCAAAATAATGTGTGCGTGTGATGATACTTTCCTTATTTGTGACCATGCATTTAGGTGTCAAGCGCAGTTGTAACCAGCAACAAGTTCATCAGTTTTCGACAAATATTGATTCTTTTTCATATTTGTCGTCCTGAAATTGAATACTCATACGGTAGACTTTTTCATTTTTTTACAGCGACTGTAAGTATTCTATATTGTGTGCCAGGTGGAGAATGACTCAATTCAACACATGGTTCATCGTTGAAACAAGGAGAATATTATCATTATACATTAGCTTGCCGTCAATAAAGTTGGTCGACCGATGAACTTAGACTATTCACTAAAGACACTTCTATAATTGGAATTACTTCCACACCAAAAGCCATCAAGTATAAGTGAAGTGTTTGATCAAGTAATGGATCTAAATAGAATCCGTTCACATCATCACGAGATAGAAATACATTCAATGATCTCAAGGGATCAAGTTTATGCATGATAGAACTAGAATTCTGGTCTACCAGTAGCACAAGAAAAAGATCACAAATACCAGTCAGGATCATAGTCGTTTCTTGTGACGATGAAATAATTAAATGATATGATCTTATTAGAAGTCGGAAAGAATCTTGTTTCGCCATGATGAAAGTCTAACCGTTGCTTGCTCTTTGCACAAGTATTGTTGATCGATCGTCATGAAAAATTAAAGCAATCATCAGGTAGCAATGCGGAAGTGAATGGATGTGACTGTAGTTGTGCATGAGCGAAGAGAAGACCTATACCTACATTCACGCTTTATCCATACCTGAATTCTACAATATAGCGCCTCTATCGGAAGCTGCATAAATAGAGTGTACGATTCAATAATATTCCAAAACAAAAAAATCATCGATGAACGTAATCGTTGACTACTACACTAAGTTACCGATTTCTTCTCTGGCTTAATATTTTTCTTTGAACAAGCGACTCATTTTATCATTGGTACACGTGAACAGCCACTGAAAGAATATTTGCTCATATTTTCAATTCTTTACCGCTGATTGTAAGTAAGTGGCAAAACAAGCAACACACGAAGGTGGGTATCGATTTTGTATTTGTATCCGTATATGAACATCTCTTTGCTTATTCCCGGTAATCGGAGACGGCTTTTCGTGAAAGGAATTATTCTAACTCTACCGATTGAGAAGACTTTCTACATGATTGTGTTGTTATCTGATCTCAATAATTTGGAATCATACATTAGAAAAATATCAGTTTCTCTCTCAGATTGTTTCAGAAGGTAATTTTAGACATAAAAAAAACTCCAAAAAGAAAATAGTCATATATTTTGTCAACTTATTTTACAAATGTCATGTTTTAAGCAAAAGAACAGGTAAAATCTTCAGTTCGACATTGTTATTAATGAAAATAATATCACTAGAATAAAATCGATCCGTTTTCATTAATACTTGGACATGTTCCGAATCATGTCTTCTCATTTGCGAACATTAATTTGATTTCGTTCGCTTTTTCAATTTAAATTATTCAAATAGAATACTATCTTAAGTCTCAAATTTCCGTTATTTAAATTCTTAAAAAATTTACTTATGTCACTTTAAAAAACTTATTTTATGACCTAAATCGTTTTTTAAAAATTGATCGAAAATTTCAACCCAGATCTAAGAAAACGGCGTTGTAATAGCATTGAAACGCCGTAATAACGATGTAAAGTGTCGCGAAATGGCACTGTAATACGTCATACCAGATTATGAAACGAAAATTGGAGAGAAAAGATGGCCGTTTTCTAATGAGGAAAACGGCTTGTAAAACGGTACGGCAGATTACGGCAAATTAAGATCAAAACTAATGCAATAATTTGTCGTTTTATGGCCGCTTCCGGTCGGATAAGACGCCGTTTTTGACGGTCGGAATGATCAACCTCGGAAATTCTTTTTAAAGTTTTAAAAAATTTACTATATAGTAGCATATTCAATAAAACTTATACCGTCAGCTTTACTTCTAACGAGCTGTAATTTATAGAGCTCGTTAAACTACTGCTCTTTTCTTTTTCTTCTTAATTAATTGCAGTTTATAGAACTTGCTAAACGTAATTGTTATTAAGTTGGCTGACTGCACGAAGTGCAGTCAAAGCCGACTTATTGCTTTTCATTGATACATAAAAATAAAAATATAGAAAATGGCACTCGAAAAAACACAGGTTTTAAATGTAAATATTGGTGAAGGCTTCTCTTCAACTTAATTGTTGAAAAGAAAAGTAATGGAGTTGTCAAGTTTAAATGAACCGAAAATTTAAAACGATTTAATTTTACTTGAACATAATTTTCGTAATGCTCGCAAATGAGAGGTAGCCCTTAGAATGCGGGTTCTTTTTTTTTGCTTTTTATATATTGCACTTGAAAAAGATGATAATATTGTCGACATTTTTTTCAATCAATGGTCGATTTAATGCTTGAACATAATTGCAAAATCAAATCTCTATCATTTTATTCAAAGTTTTCATGGTCTACTAGAGGTGAACATATGTTATCGCATAGTCGAAAAAATCACCTAGTATTTCCGAATAATCATTAGCAGAATATTTATATTTTATTTTTCAAAAATTTGGATAAACTATCCCGTATAATAGTATTTGTCAATCTCAATAAAGCATAGCTCCAATATAAGATTGTCATTTTTGTTTCTATTGCCTTATTTTTCTTGTCAAACACAAAAACATGATATAGTTTTGCACTTCTGGTAATCTATCATGTTTTGAAGAAGGTATAGAGATATGATTTTCTAATTGTAATTTATTATCCAGTTGAACATCTTTAGAAAAAATTTAGCGATTAATTGTGTTTTTGGCTTCAATGTATAGAAACAAAGACAAGAAGCCATTTTGAGAGACTAGACGCAAAATATGATTTATATTACTTCAAATTTTGTTTAGAAATTTTTGTCAAATAAGAATATGGACATGATCTAAAAATCTGAAAAAGTTTTTTTGTGAAATTTGACACAATTATATTAACAATCTGTTCGACTTGTACTAGATGCATAAAAATATTTTTCGAGCAAGGCAATAAAAGTTGACGCTGTATCAGCAGAAAAAAATTTCTTTCGTGAGGCACTTCCAATTAGATCTCATTTAATATAGCAAATATCAAAAATTATCGGATATTTGACCTGAAAAATATTGGAACAAAAATCACAAATGAAACTGAACAGAATAGTTATCAAACATGAAACACACTTGCTTTGATGAAGAAACTCTAAAAAGAATATATTTCATGCGCTTTGACATACATGGAAACAAGGATTGAAATATTTTAAATTAGTTTACGTTCGTATCCGTCTCGTATGCCGTACTGATTATTGATTATGTATATCCTGCCGTAAGAAATAAATATTAATTGTTGAGATTCAACATTTTAAATGAGATTTAGGTTAAACTGCTTCACGAAAAGAATTTTTCTCTGCGCATTTGATGTAAAACTTAAGGAATTTTTTGAATTCAAAACTGAAAAATTGCCCTAAACCTTACAATTTAGTATTGATGAATCCAGTTTTCTATGCCCTTTAATTCGGCATAAAACTTATTGTCGACATTATTTGAAATCACAGAGTCACAGCTTCTCTTCCATTTGGAAAAATATTTTTACGCACCGTGTACAGCTTTATCATTGATAGTTTTTGTTACTGTAATTCTTGTCAAAATTATAGTATAGAGTTTTTTGGAAAGATCCGGTATGCATGTTTTTTTAATTTTTTTCAGAAAATGTCTTCACAAAAGAAAAAAACTACTTCCGACCAAACTGAAGAAATATTAGCAATCGATCTAAAAAGTCGAAATACTGATTTAGAACCATTTCCGCATCCGTTTTATCCAGGTAGTTATGGTGACGGATGTGAACCAAAAACATTAATTGAATTGGCAATGATGCGATTGAGTGGAACTATTCGAACGAAACTAAAATGGTATGGAAAAATGAAAGATGAAACAATACGAAACAAGTGGAAACAAGAAGCTTCAGAGCAAACATCGCTTACAGACAAACAAATCAATTATGTTCTAGCTGAATTAGAATATTACGATTCGATACGAGATGGATCTATGGAAATGTCTTCTGTCGATGGTGTATGGCAAAGTGATGAATTAATACCTGAGGATATAAAAGAATCATTAATTGAATGTGTAAAGAGTTTCGAGAATGTACCAGAAAATGAACTAGATTGGCATCCTGGTACAAATAAACAAATACGAGATTTAGTTCATCCATCATTATTTTGTTTTGTTAATCAAATGACAAGAGTTATTAATGATAAGAATCGTATTATGAATGTAGATAATGCTCTAGAACATATTAATGATGGACAAATTATTGACATCAATGCAAAAGAATCATCTTCAAAAAATAAACGGCAAAAATCAAAACATGATTATACTCGATCGAATACATATCAATGGTTACCAGCTGAATTTAATGTTTCAAAGGATGGTCATGTTGCAATCGAATCATATATCAATAATTTACATCCAGTTGAAAATAAAAAGTTATATCAATTAATTGAACAAATATGTGAACGTTTTATACCTCTTTTTAACAAAGCTTTAACCGATTTAATTCATAATAGATATAAACCTAATCGAATCATTGTCAATCCATATCAATGGTATGATAATTCAAATTCATCGGATAATGATAGTTCTGCAGGCGATGATGATATCGATTATGATGATCATAGACCAATTACATTACCTGATGTCGGAGAATTTCGAATGCCATCATCAACAACTCCGAGCATTGATTTACGTGGAAGACAACTACAAATAATTGTTAAATTAGCTGATATTATATTAACACCAGAGAATCCTAAATATCCTGGTGGTGTTTGGCATGTTGAAGGAATGGAGAATGAGCATATTGTTGCTACAGGTATTTATTATTATTTTAATTCTAATATCACACAATCAGTTTTACAATTTCGAACTGTGATAAGTGAACCAAATTATCAACAAAATGATAATCGTGGTGTAAGAATCGTTTATGGTTTAAATGATGAAGCACCGTTAAATCAAACATTGGGTGAAGTGATTACTCAAGAAAATCGTTGTCTTGTATTTCCGAATATTTATCAACATCGTGTTGCACCATTTCAATTGAAAGATCCTACCCAATCAGGTCAACGTAAAATATTAGTACTTTTTTTAGTTGATCCAACTGCTCGTATATTATCTACTGCAAATGTTCCACCGCAACAATCTCATTGGCTTGCCAGTCTTATACGTTCTATACCTCCATTTAATAGTTTGCCATTAGTACTCATCGATAAAATAATGAATTATATTGATTTTCCTATGAATATGAAACAAGCGAAACAACATCGTGAGAAATTAATGGATGAAAGAAAATATTTTATTTCTCAAAATAATGAATTACTGTTTGAAAGACCGTTTTCATTATGTGAACATTGACATTTGTTTTGGGAGTCATTTGATCTCTCTAAACTTTATACTGTTATATAACGATTAATCTTTCTTTTAATTAAATGTACAATGAAGCTTTTTGAATATGATGTCTGTTCTTATTTTTCACATTCCTATCAAGCTGCTCTGTAAGATGATCTAAGTGTAAGAATGTTTGACAGAAATACAGAATATATTCGTCTGTGTAGATGACTTTTCGACCACTGATTTCTAGATAATACAGTCATGATCAAAATCAAGAAAAGTCTCAAAACTATTTGTATTGCACTTGGCAATGATTTATGTCTCGATGACTATATACGAATAAATCGTGTTGTATTTAACTATGTATGAGAACATTTACAAAATTTTATCTCGATCGAAGAATACTTAGATATTAAATATAGCATTCAAACCCATGGCTTGTGCATTAGCAAGACTCTTCAAGAAATAAAAAGTGAGCTGTTCGAAGTCCATTTTGAAAATGTACTTGCATGAAAACTATCAGCCAGTACGCAAAGTTTATGAGGTACAAAGTTGTCTTGTTGGAGCAAACCAGGAAAACTGAGTAAGGTAGCACGTTAATGAAAATATCCGTGCAAAGCACTGGATAAAGAAAATTGTGTAGAAATCAAATGGAACTGTGCATGAATACTTTTTCATTGTTTGACGACAGATTTTGCAGCTTGAACAATACAATAGTAGTGTTTTTCAAGCTTCTGCAAATGAATTGCTTCTGTATTGATTTTTATTAAAAGAAGAAAAAAATATTTACTGAAAAAAAAAGAACTGGAAAATTTATCTTCGGTTTATCCGAATATCTTTATAAGTTTATTCTTTGAATTGCTTGATAACATTTTCGGTCTCTCGTTACAATAAACCTTGTTTTTCATGGTGTTAAAGCTCTCAAATTGGTCACATTTCACGGTATATGACAATTGGAAAATATTACAGAGACTGAAATGTATTAATACGACTTATTCTTCAATGAATTTTAATGGCACTCTTGCATTATATCTCTAAGCGAAATTCTCAATATTTTTCCGTCAAACATTGCAGATATGGAAGTTTTGAATTGGAGGTGAAAAGGAGAAACATAGCTTCCTAATTTATAATCTGGTACATCTCAATGCGTAATGGAAATGTCAAATCTTTAATTTTAAAACCAAATGAGATATAACAAGCTAGTAAGCCTATATTTTTGTATCTTTAAGAAACTATTTTTTTGAAACAAAGCTACGCTTCATTATTTTTTTCAAAGCGTTTTACGAACTTATGATAATACATGCATAAAACAGTATCGATATGAATGGCATCTATGAAAATTATATCAACACATCAGATTCATTTATCTATTACTGCCATATTAGCCATATTGGCCAATTTACTGAAGAAAAGAAATTTTACTTCGGATTGGAATTAATTTTAAAGTGTTAAGTATTGAATTAGTCGATAGTAGATATCATGTCATGTTATGTCTTGAAAAAGTTCATGATTATTTATCAAGAAGCACGATTAATCCAACATCAATGGAAACTGTTCAATTTTTTTTTTGAACGAAACAACTTACAGACAGAAAACCAATGTTAAAAATATCATTAATGAATATGTCTTCGAACACCGTGTTTGTTATGAGTATTTTTATTTATCTTGCCCATTTAGTCGAACATCATCTACGAGAACGTCTTCATTATTATCAATCTCCATTATAATGTATATCCTCGAATGAATCAACTCTTACACAAGTTGATTATTGGACTATTAGAATGCGATGTATTTCGAGTATTAACGATTGAACATCAATATGCTCGAACATATACCATCAAACAATACTTCATCTTCAAGATCACATGAAAAACAATTATAATGTGAACTTATTCGTATTAACGAAGCACCTGTTGCTTTTCATTCAACTAGAATATATTATGATGAAGTTTTCTTATACACATTTCATTGTTCAGAAAAACAAATGATATTAGACGACATAAAACGACTTAATAATAAAGATGATGAGCTGTAGACGGTATAAGTATCCTAGAGGTATATCTAAAGATGCAGAGGTTTATCTAATGCTATGCATATACAGCATCGGAGTAGAAGTAGATGAGTCCGGATGAATCTTAAGTGGTCGTGTCAGAGTTAAATAAACATATGAAACTTTTTTAAATCAAAGTTTTGTTTGTTATAATCAGAAGAAATCAAGAAAATTCTTTTAGATTTATCATCATTTTATTTTATTTTTGTCAAATACGATCTTTTTTTCAATTAAAAATAAATAAAATTCATTATATAAAAAAGAAACTATTCTTCAGAATTAATAATTAATCAAATAAAAAAGTGGTTTGGATTCGTTAAGACTATCCGTTGTTGAATGAATATCACCAATTAATGCTTTTATTAAATAATTGTCAATTGAAAATGGATAATTACATCGAAGTATCCGAATGTGTATAAAAGACAATGTAATAGCTCCCTTTAGATATACTTTGTTTACGTGGTGAACAGACTATTCGAATCTGTTGATATAAAAATCTAAACAAAAAAGAAGTAATTATGATCGAATCTACTTGGAAATTTTCATGTTTGTTTTTCGTATCATCTCAGATAAATAACATAAATGAATCCAAAACAAAAGCTATTTTGTTTTGTTTCTGTTCTTTGGTGTTTTTGTTTCTTCCTACTTTATTGATCATTCTTCCTATGATGGCACTTTCATATAATTTACCTTATCTAATTTACAATGATTTTTAATATATTGTGACATATTTCACTCTACTCAATACAATTTATCCTCATTAAATTGTCCAAGTTGTCATCATGATTAATGTAATTTGCGAAATTTGGGAATAATCCAGTTGAAAATATGTCATATAAATAAATTTGCAAAGTTATTTTTCGATTAACAATCGATAGAATCTTTCGTTGAAGTTAACTTCATGTTTCCAATATACTTTCTTTAGTTGATATATTGATCAATGATATATAGACTCTCTAATAGGTAGTATCCATGTAAAGAGTAAGATTGACGTTTTATTATTTCGTTCCGTTGTTTCATACACATTAATGTCCTGAATGAAATACAAAATAACATCTGTATGTTACGGTACGATGATTAGGATATAATATGCTCTAATGCTGGTTGCCTAAGACAAAACATTTCCTGATATCTACGGCAGAAATTCTTTAAGAAGGTTTCGGAAATTAGCTACGGATTTGAGGGATTTCTAATATAGTTCTAAGCTCTAATCTCAGTTTCTATAGCTTCTTGATTAAACCAAAAAGTCGATCTGTACTTATGAAATAAGCATTCCATATTCTATATAGAGTCAGTCAACTTTGCAAATTGTCGAGTATTGTTCTTTTTATATGTTTTTCAAATTTAGTATGGTTTACTATGTGGGTATTGCGTCGTGATGACAGTGAAATGAGAAGAAGAAAATTTTGAAGAAAAATCAGCAATAACATCGAACTAGTATATTCTAACCAACCGGATGTTTTTATTTCTTAGACGACCAAGTTGTGCAGTTGAATTTGCATAGAGAAGAAAAGTTTTTTTCCAAATAAAATCTAACGGCCATGAGAAAGATTAATGCGACCATACCTACTTATGTCGCTTATATTCGGTAATTGATATCGGGTTGTGCATAACCTTTTGCTAGGGGGGTAGCGCTATTATT